AAAAAAACCAATTTTCTAGGATTCATTGCTTTGTTTCGGTCGTAAATCTTAGTGCTCCAGGGACTGTCCAGCATGTTTTTCTTTCTTTTTTTCCTTTTTTGATATCCCTAAAAAATGAAAACTGGTGGCTGCTTCCTGTTCTAAAATGACCGGAGGGCAAATACGAGTGGATTCGTTTATTTTCAAGTAAAATATGGGGAGGGTGATTTTAGAAAGTTTTTGAAGAAATTAACAATAAAGTCAAAAACGGGTGGAAAAGGCTTGGCGGAAAACTAGCGCAATTAACTTTAAACTGTCCAGTAATTTTCTCTTTATCCACCCTTATTACTTCATTAACCCTCTCTTTATTCACTCTTACGATAGGAGTAGGCACTGGGAAGTATTTGTAGGATAGTAAGTGCCAACAGCAGTCTATCATTGGCAAGGCTGTCGATGGTTCCCTCTTTCAGTGATTGTTTAGAAGCAAGCTGATGACGGGTTTGTCTCCCTGGATATGAATGAAGCAGTCGTAGAGGGACTGATTGTTCCGGTGGGGGAGCCAAACCTCGGACCCCTGCTTCTCAACAACAGCGGTACTTCGATAGTATTTGTTGGAAAAGTGTCATTTTGGGTTTCATCTTTCACTTCGTCTTTCCGATTTTTGCATAAAAATTTCATGCAAAATGCAGTTTGTACCGCTTCAGGTGTACCCGTTTGCGAAAATCTGATAATTTATGCTTAATAAGGCTATGATAACAATGTTTTTATGCGAAATCAGATATGTGGTACAATGTTAAGTATGATAAGTGTTGTGAACAACAGGCATGTAATCGTAACGGCAATCCACCACACCACACGTTCCCAGTTTTTTTTACGAAAATTCCGCAGAACAATGGTACCCATCAGAACTCCGGCAATGAAACCAGCGAAATGCGAAATATGGGAAACCTGAAAAGAAGCCAAAATCTTAAAGTGAGAGGAAAAAAAACAGCAGATGGGGGTTTTTCCGGAAGTTTTTGGGGGTTTTTTTTCGAAAGTTTTTGAAAAATTTATTCTTTTTCACGAATTACGTCTGTATTTTTGCTTAAACTTAACCAACTAAGTTAGCATTAAATATCGAATAACAGAAAACTATTTTAATTTTGGAAGAAGAAAAAGCAAATAATTATTAAGAAATTAGTAAAAGTTGCAAAATATTATATATTATAATGGTAAGAAATGTTTCAGTCCATTAAGTCGTATACATTTCGTACCAACTTTTACTAATTTTCTGAAAATAAGTTTCTTTTTGAAATGTTGTATTAAGGAGGACATTTCGGGACCGCGGAGAAAATACTTTTTTATAATTCAGAACTTTAATGATAAAGAAAAATAAATATAAAGGAACACTTGGCCGATCTCCGAAGAAGTGGCACCCATACAGATAGTGATTCTGGCTGCAGGCATTTTACCCAGGATCAGATGATCCAGGAATATCTCAGTAACATCACCGCCGACGTTGGATTCCCATTTTTGTTGTCTTGGCACTCTCGATTGATATTTTTAGAATAAAATGAATAAAATTGTTAATTTCAACTAAGAAACGAAAATTGGTACTTTTCCCATGGAATTCCAACTGCTCTTTGCCGACCCTCCTGGCTACTAAACTACCGGAAGTGTTCATTTTACAGTAATGTTATACTTTGCTGTTCTGGGGCCGAGTAGTAAAGGGTAAAGAGGAGCGCCTGGGATTTTATAGTGGCCCAGAGATCCTAAATAGTCCATGAATTGGAACTGTTCAAGCAGTAGCACTAGCAAGTTCCAGTTATTAAAATCGATCGAGAG